ATAATGTTAAAAATTTACAACATAGAAGTTTCACGTCGATAAAAATAAGGTGGTCCTATCCGTACACTCCTTTATATCTTCCACACGTTTTTACTTTCTGTCTTTTGATTTTTTTTCCTTCAATTTACTCGATCGGACGGCCCATAAATTGAGAAGTAAATGTAAAAGGTAAAAACAGGTGTATAGATAACACCATCTTAAAACTACAGAAAATTAACCCCCCCCCCCTCCCCCAACCAACAACGATAAAAAAAAAATTCTCATTCCAACAAAAAAATACATAGTAGTGGAATTGCTCCGCTACTCCAATAAATCTTATTAGTTTTTTAGCCAGGTTTTATTTTATAGGGTAATATTCTCATTAATTATATAAAAATATTGAAGGTCCATATCTTGTGTGAAGCTTTTGTTTGATACTTGTCTCTCCAATGCAAGCTGAAGTCGCCTTGGTAGTCGTCATAAGATCAGTAGCTATATTTCACGTTCTCTCTTGATGTTAGGCAGGATTCTATCAATTGCAAATCTCATGCTAGCTGTTGAGTTCTATACAAATCCTATGTTTAAATTATCTTTTTTCCATAGCCAAGTTAGTTGATGAAATCTATACAAATTAGAGACGCGATCTCAACAAATATATATCCTAACTCCATGCATATGTGTAACAAAAATACCTTCCACATTATATGCCAATATAACATTTTTTTATATATGGCTATGATTTTATTGGTGGAAAAATGTTTAGGTTGCATTGTGGTTCAAATTATCACCGTGACAATATAAACATCTCATGTTACGTACTAGACAACTTTGAGAAGAGAGCAGTCTTCTAATATATTTACAATATACATATACAGTAGAGCAGATTCACAAACTTTTTCCTTGGAGGAAACATTGTTCCAGTTATTTGATATATGTATACATATACAAAAATAACTGGAACAATACCCCTCCATTAACATAAATATATACACATGTATACCAATCTTCAGATATCATGGGCTGAGTGTGATTAAAATCCCATTTCCTATATCTATGTATTAATTAAGAAAACCATTTCGCAATAAGAATGGTTTAAACTTTAAAATATTAATAAGACCATATGGTTGCTGGCTCACAAAACCAACTATCCTTGCTATAATCCTTGCCTAATAAGAAATTATAAGTTCTGTTGCTAAGAATAATTGTTGCGGGCTCATGATCACATGAGCAGATCTTACCGGAGCTTCAATTTTGTCCAACCTTCGTTAATTAGCAATCAGAATATTAAATCTTGGATAAATTGGTAGCTTTGTCTGGTCAGCATATATAGCTTAACTGCTTTTAGATCTCTTCATATATTTGGTTTTCACTTTTGAGCATGGAGTTTAGGGGTAATAGAAAGGGTCTAATTAAAAGATGAATATGATTGTTTGACATTAAGTTTTTTTTTCTAAAGAATGAGAAAGATTTATTTGCATATGCACGGAGGCATCCCATTCTTTTTATTTACCAAAAAAAAATTAAAAAAAGAAAGAAAGAAAAATAAACGATGCAGGATTCTTTGTTAGTTTCTATTTAATTTTGTTATCTATTTTATTTTACATATATTGCTTTACAGACAAGGAAACTATGAACTTTTCTATTATGTATATTTCTTATTAGGGAGACTTTGGATGCGGTCCCTATTTATAAATATTCTTTTATTGAAATCTTGTTGGTTTTCAATTTTTTATTGAAGTTCCTGAAATTAATGTGATAATTTATTTCTATATACGTTACTATATTTTTAAAATTAAAAACTAAATTTTTTAGTTGTTTATATAAATGAGATTTTAAATAAAAACCATAATTTGTGGGATTAAAAATATTAAAATATAAATATATTATTTTGTGTGTGTGTATATAAACATGGGTACATTCATCAAAATTAACCAAAAAATTATTGTATCAAAACATGGGTACATTCTTCAAAATCACAAAAAAAAATAATATTAGGCTTAATAACATTAGTAAATTTATTCGATTAAACTTGACATTGATACATTTTAAAATCAAATAAAAAATAATGTACCCATATAAGTTTAAAAATGGATTAGAAAAAAATGGTACATTTTACATATAACAAATTGGTATATTTAAGAATGAGTACATTTTAAGATTAAAATTTTTAAAAAATTAAATGAATGGGTACATATAATTAGCATTGGTACATTTGGTAAAATAAAAAAATGGGTACAAATAAATTTAAAAAAAAATATGGGTACAAATACAAATAAAACTTTAAAAAATATGGGTAGAAAAAGAAATTAATATATGGGTACAAATTAAAACTGAAAAAAAAATTGGTAAAAATTAAAAAATGATTGCAAATTAAAAATGGGTACAAACTAAAACTAAAAATATATGATAACAAATTTAGTCATAAATATAAATATACTAATTGTAACATTTTTAACATTAAATGAATATATTTGGAAATAAAAATATTTTATTATTGAAATAATTAATGATGTTATTAATACCCAAGGACCTTGATCAAAAATTGAAAATGAATAGGATTTTAATCAATGGAGTAGCAAAAGGAAGGATGAGAACCTAATTTCTCCTTCTTATTATTAAGTCTCTAGGTTCTTTTTTAGGAAAACTAACGAAAAGTTCTCAAAAACTTTAGGTTTTAACAAAAATGACAAAATAAAGGTGTAAGTGAATAGTAACAAGAGTGACTTTTCAAGGTAAAAAAATGTCATTTTCGTTAAAAGTGAACAATACCGGGAATGTTTCATTAAGATTCCTTTTTTTTTTTTTAAGAAGAAGAAGATACGATAGCAGTTTTATTCAGAATATTAATGAAGTATACAATCATGTAGGAGGGCATCCTGAATAGTAACCGGAGGCACCTCAAACCAAAGACTAGGAACAGTAGAACTAAAGGCCAATTTAGCCATACTATGCGCTACAACATTGGTGGATTTACATATATGATTTACTTTCACTGTAGCAAAACTCTGCAAGCTGGCTTTCACATCCTCAATTAATAAACCAGTAGCAGAAACGCCACAATGGGGACTATGCAGTGCTTGGACCACTTGTAAGGCATTGCTCTCCAGAATGACTAGCCTCCAATGCCGTTGTGCAGCCTAGTGCAAGCCTGCACGAGTTGCTAGAATCTCGATAGTATAGGGGTCGATCGCATGAGGAATTTTGCAAACAAAACCTCCAGCATAGCTACCGGCTTTGTCACGAAAAACCACACCGATACCCCCACACTTCGAATTTGAACAAAAAAAAGCATCGACATTTATCTTAATCTAATTTGGGGGCGGCAGAGACCATCGAGAAGGAGAAAGCAGGGGGCAAGGAGCAATTTGGGGTTGTACACAAAATCCAATAGGAAAAGGCCCGCCAATCTACTCACCACAATGGGGTTCTCCTGCTTATCATTCCAAAGAAGGGAATTCCTAGCAAGCCAAATAGTATGGATAAAGACAAGAAGAAGATCAAATTGACCATGCTTGAGGACAGCAGCACGGCAACTAAGCCACTCCAAGAAGCAAGAGAAAGAAGAGCGGCGTTGTCCAAACTCAATGTTGGTGGAGATTATATTCACACAACCCAAATTATTTTTCTCCACACTTTTTTAATTTTTTAATATTTTTCTATCAAGTGTTAGTGATGTGTAGAAAATATTAAAAAATTAAAATGGTGTGAAATAAGTAATTTAAGATGTACGAATATAATCTCTCTTAGAATAATATTACTGAAAAAAAATTGTGGTTTCGTCATCAAACCAATATGCACTATAGGGAAGCATTCAATGCGGAATATACTCTCAGTAATTACTATTTGTTGCTCGGCAAAGGTTCCTTGTTTTATCCATTTCTCTTGCGTTAGGTATTGCCATTGTTGGTGATGTGAGCCATTATGAATATGAATTCATATTATTAAGGGTATTCTATTGATATTTTCTTCCTATACATTATAACCAAAACAAAACTTATATATATTGATAGCATTATAGTTAAACAATTTTTTAATCCAACCTGAGACCTCTCACTTAGAAGTGAAAAAGAATATCATTAGACCATAGTATTAAGTGACTATAGTTAAACAATTTAGAACAATGTTATTATAGTCTTATCACATTTTAATACCACATAATGTAGCAAATGATGTACATACGCCACATAAATGAATAATTTTATTTTTATTAAACGGTCATTTTATCTCCGAGCTACGATGTTGATTGAATGAGTAAATGTTAGCCATACCACATTTAAATGTCACATAATGTGATAATTGATGTGTAAACAATGTCATTTAGTGATTTTATGTCATTGTAATATTTGGATGATGATTTTATCTCTTTCAATTGAATGTTTTTTTTTTATCTCATTGGATTTTCTTTAAATATTTGTATGGTATTAAAATGTAGTACAAATATGTGGTAAGTCTGATTTTTTTTTTTTTTTTTTGAGTCAAGCGATAGAATTAGTAAGTTAAATGTTAGATTAGCTAATGACGGGATTCGAACCCATTCCGTCATGCAAGGGCACAACAATTTTTCACCACTGTAGAAAGAGCCACTTGCAGTGGTAAGTCTGATTTTAATCATAAAAAGTCATATATGACATTAAAATGAGGTGCAAATATGTGATAAGTATAATATTGCTCAATAATTTAACTACAAAACCATACCATTTGAAACAACAATTTGATTGATTAGAAGTATCGACATTCATTTGAAATTTATATGTAACAAATTGTTATTAGCATTTTAAAAAACTGTAATTTCAAATGAAGATATTGCATAGTAACTTTTTTAGAATGTTAATAACAATGCTTTAACAGCCACCTTTATTCTAAAGCAAATTATGAAGACAACTACCATATTAATTAGCATATTCGATCTGTATGATTTAGGATCATTGAGATCAAGAAAGCTTGGTCAAATTACAGACTGACCAACCATTGTATATATATAAGTAGAAGGGGGGACCTTTTTGTATCTCAAAGCTCGCAACCCTTCTTTTCCTATATATAATAGGCCTTTTGAGAGGGTTTCATTCAAACAGCTCTCTCTTCTCTTTTCTCACTTCCCTTAGTCATTTCAGCTTCCTCAAAAGAAAATCCTTGCCCTCGAAAATCAAGATAAGCCCGAATATTAATTCTGCTAGCTAGCTAGCATCCATGGGTATAGAGATTGAGCAGCAGCAGCAGCCTTCTGTTGGGCTATCAAAAATAGCTGTTTCTAATACTCATGGAGAAGACTCTCCATACTTTGCAGGCTGGAAAGCATATGACGAAAACCCTTACGATGAATCAAGCAACCCATCAGGAGTCATACAGATGGGACTGGCTGAGAATCAAGTAAGTGCTCAACAAAATCCAGAAGAAGAAGATTGCATTTTTTTTTTTTTTTAAAGAAACCTTGGTGGTACAAGAGAATTTTATTGATAGGGTGTAGTGCTCAACAAAACCGAGAAGATGAAAATACTAATATGTTTTTTATTTTAAGAATTGTGACCTAATATTTTTTTTTTTATTGAATAGGTTTCATTCGATGTTGGAAAAATACTTGGAAGAGCATTCAGAAGCCTCCAACTGGGGAGCAAAGGCATCAAAAGGAGTGTCTGGCTTTAGAGAAAATGCCTTGTTTCAAGATTACCATGGTCTTTTGTCTTTCAGAAAGGCAATGGCAAGTTTCATGGAACAAATAAGAGGAGGAAGGGCCAAATTTGACCCTGATAGAATAGTCCTAACTGCAGGGGCAACTGCAGCCAATGAGCTATTAACTTTCATTATAGCTGATCCTGGTGATGCTTTGCTTGTTCCAACCCCATACTATCCAGGGTAAGAATACTCCTCCACTACTCAAACTTAATGCCATTCAGAGTTACGAAAATGTTCCCTAGTCAGACAGTCTGGCATTATTTTGTCAAATTGTCAAAAAACTAATTATGCCTACTCAAATTTTGTTTTACAGATTTGATAGAGATTTGAGGTGGAGGACTGGTGTGAATATTGTGCCAATCCACTGTGGCAGCTCAAACAATTTCCAAATCACTCCTCAAGCTTTGGATGCTGCATACAAAGAGGCAGAAGCCAAGAACATGAGAGTGAGAGGTGTACTCATCACAAATCCTTCCAACCCTTTAGGTGCAACAGTCCAAAGGGCAGTCCTTGAAGAGATTCTTGATTTTGTCACCCGGGAAAACATCCATCTTGTCTCTGATGAAATTTACTCGGGCTCTGCCTTCTCATCCACCGAGTTCATAAGCATTGCAGAGATTCTTGAAGACAGGCAGTACAAGGATGCAGAAAGAGTCCACATAGTTTATAGCCTCTCTAAAGACCTAGGCCTTCCGGGTTTTCGTATTGGCACCGTGTACTCTTACAACGACAGGGTTGTGACAACAGCAAGAAGGATGTCTAGCTTCACCCTGATATCTTCTCAGACACAACATCTCTTGGCTTCCATGTTGTCTGAGAAGGAATTCACTGAAAATTACATAAAGACAAATAGAGAGACTGAGGAAGAGATACGACATGATAATCGAGGGTTTGAAGAAATCGGGGATTGAGTGTTTGACAGGCAATGCCGGGTTGTTTTGCTGGATGAATTTAAGTCCACTTTTGGAGAAACCAACAAGAGAAGGTGAATTGGCTCTTTGGGACTCTATGCTGTATGAAGTGAAGTTAAATATATCTCCTGGTTCTTCATGCCACTGCTCTGAACCAGGCTGGTTTAGGGTTTGTTTTGCAAACATGAGTGAGCAGACACTTGAAGTTGCTCTTAAGAGAATACATAATTTTATGGAACAAAGAGAGAGAAGCAGGAATTAATCTAGTTTTCTCTCTTTAATGTTCCTTTTAGGTTTTTGAATGGTTCTCCCATTTTGATTCTAAAGAGTACAAAATCTAGTTCATCAGGAACTGGAATTTTGTCTCATTACATACACATACTGTAGATCATATTGGATGAAACAACATCCTTGTTTTCTTGCTTGGAAAAGCAAGTTTCACAGAAAATCAAGTTGTAAAAGTAATATATTTTCAGTTTTTAATTATTCATCCATTCAATTACACTAAAAGTGCATTCTATTTTCTAAAAAGTACGATTTTTTTTTTAAATACAGTAATGTGGGGTCGAGAATATTAACAACTAAAGAGATTAGAGACCAAATTACCTTTAATCAAAGCAGCAAGGAACACATGACAATGACAAACTCCGCTTAATTAAGTTGCTTTCCGATTATCATGAAAAAGATCTGGGTTCTATTAATAATGTCATATACTGCTCATACACTACCTTGTGCGCGTACGTGATTAAGATGTAGTAGCTAGGGTTTATCATTTTAACAAACAAGATGTAGTTGTTAATTAATTAAGATATGATTTTTCTTAATATTTATAAGCATTGTGCACCATGCTTCACCAAATGGCTGGTCCACCACATGATACCATTTGATACACATTTGAGCAGACCAACACACACACACAATAGCATAATATTAATGAATCGATATAGTCTTCGGATCTCGAAATTCGGAGCCCGCGGATCCAGAGATTCAAGGTCGTCCAAGGGAGGGAGAGAGACATGCAGACCTTTGATTTGTGTAAGGTGGGCTAGTATAATGAGCTAATGGGGGCCGTAGAGTTTAAAATAAGTGGTCCATATCTCTGAGTCTGCCAACCCCAGACACAGAAATTCAGAGAGGATCTCATATAAAATGACCTAATCGACATCTCCGTAATTTGATAATTTGATTGAAGCCATGAAATATTATCATATATGTGAAAATCAATGGGAGATCCAGAAAGGATGCACATCAAGCACAAAGATAACTTCAAGAGAATTATGTAGTGTAATTATAGTTTATTTATTTATTATTATTTAAAAATTAAAACAATAATTTACATTAGATTAGTCTAAATTATGAAGAGGAAGACTTGAACTCAAGTGTAGAAAGTATGAGAATGTGAGGACAAAATCCCACATCGGTGAGGACCAAATCATGCAATAGCTTATAAGAGGTTAGACTACTTCTCATATCGTCAATTAGTTTTATGGTGAAACCTTAATTTCTTCAGAGTACAGTCTAACAAATTTGACTAAATCCACATATATATGTGTGTGTGGGACTAATTAGTTGGTCAAGAGACACATCATTACATATTGACAAAAAATAAAGACTCATGCATTATCATATGATAAATTAAGTTAATATTTATTATGGCATATCATTTGACTTTAATACAGTAGCCATTTGTGCATATTAAGTAAAGATTCAATCTCTTTCATGATCAGCTTTCAAGCATTTTTCATCAAACTGTCTTCCATTGAGATATTATATATCTACGAATTGGCCCTTCATTTCAGGGCTAACCATAAATTAAACATATATGTATGAAAGTGTACGTGAATTGTTAATTGGTTGAATTTCAGGAAAGTCAAATTCAATAACATCATTTTTTATGTGTCGACCATAATGATAATGTCATTTCATATACATGGGAACAACGACACTCCACGATAAGTCTTTTGTATTTTTTTTTCTCCTCTTAATAATATAGAATTGTCGTCTTTCTGTGAGAAACTCAATATCATGCCGACTGTTTCATGTTAATGTCACATTAATTTTTCCTACTCTATTAAGGGTGATTCAATGTCGTTAGGGTTTCTCTCTACAAAACATCCTCACCAATTCAACCATGTTTTTCATCAAGGCCGGCTTTGAGAGTGTCCGAAGTAGGCGCTCGCCTAGGGCTCCCAAATATATAAACACACACACACACATATGCCCTTTATGCAAAGGGATCCCCATTTTTTTCAAAAAATGGGAATTAGGTGTGGGGCCCACTCCACGTCGAACTTCAACGATCCGAATGTCTATTTTGTAAGTCTCGTTTCATAGATTATCCTTACAAAAATTCAATTCAATCCTAAACCATATGACTATTTAATTACCAAGATAAAATTTCATTGTTTCTTATATAACAAAGTATTTGTTAATTTCTTTGAACTCAATTAGATGTCTTAAACATTTCCGATTTGGCTAATACTTTGCAAGGATGATCTATGAAGTGTAACTTGAAAAATAGATGGTTCGGATCGTTAAAGTTTGATTTGGTGTGGACTCCACAATTAATCCCCATTTTTATAAATAAAAAAAATAAGAATCCCTTCCCTTATAGGTTTCTTTTATATATATACAATTCAAATTCAATTAAAATATATAAAAATAAATAAAATCATAGGAATTGAAAAAAATTGGTTGAAAAATTAGATTATGTAAACTTAATTAGTATAGTTACGTCTAAAAACACGAGAGTTGTACGTAATATTTAAATAATATTTGTATATCGATCTTTCTTCTTTTGATATTAAATTTTAATGATATTTGATGTAGAAATAGACTTTTCATGTATTTAGTGAATTTTTTTTTATGCATATCATTGTACATAGGACGAGGGTCAAAGAACTGGCTCCACTTTGAAAGCTCGCCTAGAACCCCCAAATTCTCAGGGCCAGCTTTGTTTCTCATTTGATCTAGCATCAATATTTGTTTTTCATCCTTTAATTTCATCTATTCATTTCTAGGGTTTAGTGTGAATATAATGGTTGGGATTTCTCCTCCGTAGCAGAGTTGCTTGTTGACAATATATCTTGACACAAAACGGACACGGTTACACCAAACCCCACAAAACTCACCAATCACAGTCCGCCAGATCATCCCCATGTGGCTCACGACGGCAATCATCAGCCGCCAAGTAAGCATGGAGATCCATATAATAACCAATTTAGCCAACTACTACATTTGATTAAAGTCTTTCTGCCATGAACGTTGAACAAGCTTCATCATGTCTCAGCTGAGTTCTACTAATTTATATATATTGAAAGTAGACTATCTATCGACGAATGCTGTAAAGTGCAAAGCTGTCAGTGCCGTGATAGTCGCACTGCCAATTGCCATATCGAGCAATGGTCCACAAATGATCACAATCAAATTATTCAATCGTGATGGTATATATTTCGTTCAAAAAACGCAATAGTATATAAGAAAAAAAACTAGAGGAAGAAGCCAGCCTTTTGGGGCTGGGAAAATTCACTAAGTTAGTTTGGCCTTCTCTGACAACCATCGTGTAATTTATTAATGCCAGAAATCGAATCTAGAACATAGAGTATGAAATACGAGCCAGAAATGAAGAAATAGAGACCAAGCTAGGGCGTATATCTAGTTGCCAAAAAAAAAAGCTAGGGTATATCTTGAAGGTTGGCATAATTATAAGATGTTGGTGTATCAACTAGCTACTGAAAATATTATGTATATTCTCTTTTTAGGATTCATTTTTATATTTGTTTAATGCTTATATCCAAGATTATGTCTATTATTATGATTTCATGATTTGTTACGTACTTACTTGAAATCAAGAAAATCGTAAATTTGATGATATATATGTTACTTGAAATGAGAGAAGTCTATGGAACCCAGAAGTTTGCGAAAGAGGGGGAAATATGAATAAGAATGGGATTGGATCAATCACTCCCTTAATCAAGCTAATTCATAATGTTTCAAGTATTAGATTAGTGAGAGCTATATTTAAAAATAAAAAATAAAAAATAGGTCTAACTACATTTTACACCCTTTAGCTAGGTTTGGGGTTATTTTCAAATTAGCAGGTCACAAGGTTTTAACTTTTTCACATTAGACACGAAAGTTTTAAAACTATAGCAATTTATGGTTTTTGTCTAACGAATTATTTGAAACTTCATAAAATTGATGACATGAGCATGAAACCCTATTTGGGTTGACATGTAAGACACATTTGTACCAAATTGACTAAAAAAACTCATTAAATTGATACAATTACAAAATCTTAAGGTGCAACGTGAGAAAATTGATACAATTACAAAACCATAAGGTGCAATGTGAGAAAATTGCTCTTACATATCCCTTGAATGCCAACCTTTGATATAAAACCTTATAAATTCTAACTTTTTTTACTTTAAGTTACTGCAAGAAGCAAGAATTATATTTCCATGAAAAGACTTCATGCCAACCTTTCTCATACAATAGGGGCATTTGGCCATTAGGGTTGAGCCGGCCAGGTTTAAATAGTTTAATTAGCATGTAAATGTATACTTACATACATGATATAATGGTGTACGTGATTACTATGTCTTTTAGCATGTAATATATGTATGGTTTACAATGTTGTTAACTTCCTATCATGTGATGCTTGAGTACGTTCATTTTTAGTTTATATTTAAGGCAATAATTAATAAAAAAATTAAAACGTTTGCCAGACAAATTTCAGTTCATATTCCACATGACAAATCATGAGTTTGATTTCTGATGCACATGATGGTGGTCAGAAAATGTTAAAATACTTATGTGAATCTTTCCTTTTATGGGTTAGTATGGTCACTCCCCTGATCATGTGCACGGAAAGTAAAGGAATTCACTCGTCTATGGATATACAACTCTTTTTATTGAACAATATATATGCCTGCAGCTGAATAGCCGATTAATCTCTGAATACTTACAATTAGGTAGCCGTCTTAAACGATTATTATGATTGCTTAGTATTTATTTGTTAGGGTACTCTCTGATTTAGGGTTTTTTTTAGGGTACTCTTTGTATTAGGGTTTTTTTTAGTATACTTATAATTAGATCTCATAAATGGGGGTAAGGCTAGCCGACATTCACCTCTCCCAGACCCTGCGTAAAGCGGGAGCCTTGTGCACTGGGTATGACCTTGACTTATAATTAGATCTCAGAATACTTACAATTACGTTAGAGTACTCTTTGTATTAGGTTTTTTTTTTTTAACATTATGATTGCTCAATATTTGTTATTTGAGTTGAAGACCTCTTTCTTGTTTGTTTTAAAATTAGGTAGCCGTCTTAAAATATTTAGTTTTTATGTAGACGTCTTGACAATTTGTAGTCATCCTTCTTTTTTATTTTAGTCAAAGGAATAATAATTAGAGTTCGTAATTAGTTTTTCTTCTTTTTGTCCTTTCATTTGTTAACATGCATGGTAT